CCTTGGATCCTGGATGGTTTGGTGATGATGGAATTCAAGACATTCAAATCCTACACTCCACAAAAATAACAAATGCTATATGCTACCACAAATCAATCTCAAGTGTAGGATCACCTATTTCTCTGTAAATGAAATAAAAGTGGAAGGTAGTCTCCTTAACATGTTTTTAGGATTTGATAACGATCTATCAAGTGTTGCTTGGTTACAGTTCCACATATCTGTAGAACAGAAGTTGTATTTACATTTAGAAGAGAGGTAAACATTTCCCTGTGTAATATTTGATGTATTAGAAGGTACACAATACTAATTTCTTTGGCTTTCCCAGGCAAATAATTGGGCTGGCTGATTTCGTCTGCCCACAACTACAGGCCAGGAGAGTTGTGTTTAGATAATGCATGTTGATTTATTTAATGTTTTATGAATACAGAAGTGTTGGAAAATATTTATTGATTTTGGAAAGTGCCCACCCTGCTCCCAGTTTACATGTGAAACTGAAAAGTTTTGCATAAAATCTCTTGTTTTTTGTGAAGACATGAAATGTGGAGCTTTGCTAAAATTATAAGCAAACAAAAGCCACGCATCTAAATATTTTCAAGTATCATGATGAGGTTGTATTTTGATGGCATGAAATTTGCTCACCAATGTGCTTTCCCTTCCAGTGACGTGAGACATCAGCCTTTATCTAAGCAGCAGTCTGGGTGGCGTCAGTGGGAATTTTGCCTGATTTAGAGGATCTTAGCAGAAGCTCTTCAACCCATTTTTGAATGCTACGGCTTACCAGGGCTGTGTTAAGGTTCTGATAAACTGACTGCTGTCTTTCACAGCCACGACTTTCTGAAATCTCTAAGTCTTCAGTATCTGTCTGCAGACAGAAATGAACAGGCAGCGGGGAAGAGAAAAAAAACAAACAATAAAAAGTGAGAAAGAAAAACTTTAACATGGCGGAGCTTTGGTGGGTTTTTCTACTTTTTTTTTTTCCAAATGTGATATAGTTGAATATATAGTTCTGGTTGGGATATATATAGTTCTGGTTTGTCCTCCCTTCAGGACCTAATGGCTCAAAACCAGAGTAGGGAGAAACCTGGAGAGGTTTGCAAGGCCATATTGTTTTCTTTTTATAACATACTAAAATCTTACTGGCAAAAGAATGAATTTAACCTTACAGGAACTCAGCAGTGCTTTTGGCACTGTCTTCCCCGAGGTCTTTCTGTTACCAAATAAATCAGTGCACACAACAGCAAAAAAGCAAAGTGAAACTTAATCCCTACCTGCGTGTTCAAGCAGCTGAAGGCTCTGCTGATTCGTTTCAGCCCTGCAGTCACGTCCACCAGGGCTAAGAGCAGATAACGCATGTTTATTTGATAGCTGAACCACACTGTGCTCTCATTAGCTGAGAATGATTCATGAGGTCTGAGAAGACTTTTCCAACTCTCTATAATAGCTAAACCCATGCCTGAAATACATGTGAACCCTGCGCTCAAAAACGATCTTCCCTGTTCCACGCTCTGTGCCTCTTCTTGCTAGAGTTGCATTCATTATTTTCACTGTCTTTGCCAGCACTGCAGGTGGGGACTGTCACAGCTGGGAGAAGCCACAGGAGAGCATTCAGGGGCCATGAGTGGCATAGTGATTCACACTGAAAGACACTGGTGTGCCCAGCACAGGACTGGACAGCAAAACAGGAGGATACTGGGTGGATAGGAACATACTCCTGGGGAATCACCCTAACCCTTGAGTTCTCAGTCCACGGTTCCTTTCTAGATCTTGCTCTAGAAAGTTCCAAGTAAGGAGTGTAGCAATGGAGCAGGGAGCCCAACACTCCTCCTGCTGAGGTGCCCACCATCCTGCTGCCCCAAGAGCCTTTCTCCATGCACAGCAGGAAACCTTCAGCAGGCAGGGTAGGCAACAGTTCCTTGTCAAAAGCACATTTTGTTTTCTAGAAACCAGTGTGTACTTTTGCTGTGCTCTCTTAAGATATATGTTCCTAGCTTTTATTTCAACAAGAATAAACTGCAAAATAGCAAAAGGAAAAAAAAAGTTAAAAGGACATGTTTTACCAATCAATAGAATAATTTCATATTTTTAATTTCAAATAGGTGGGAGAATATCAAGGCTCTTTATGAAATTTCTAATAATTAACCATCCTACATTTCTAGACTTAAAAATTTTATATGGACTCTTATTTTTTGAAGCATTGTGGAATTGCAAGTTACTAAAACTATGAAGCGGTTTGCAGTGTCTAATAAATATATGTAATTACTCCAGGAAAATGGAATTACTGTTATAAAAAGACCTTGAAAAGCTATTAGTATAACCATAGGTCTCAGTCTGCATTCTACAACAAGCCACAATTCAGATAGCAGTTCATCTATAACGCTTGTATATCAATAAGGAGAAAACATAAAAAGGCTTATAATAATATTTTTCCTTTAGTATGGAAGTTTTCAGAAGTCAGCAATAACTTGAATCTGCTGTTACCTGCACTTTAAAACTATCTTTACTGAGAAAAATCTGTTGAAGACTTGCTCTTTTCTGGAGGTGGGTGGAATATAAAGGTGTGGGCAAACTTTGTAATGTTTGTCTTTTGCTAAAACTTACCACATGTTTGGTTCCCTCCCTTGATACAGTGGTAGACAGAGGGCATTCGTCTCACAGAGGCAGCAGATGAAAGAAGTTCAAATGAGGCTGAACATTGCCCAAGACTATACAATAATGTGACAATTAACTGGGATGGGGGAAATCAGTGTAGATGTAAATGCTGTTGGACAGAAAGTTGGGAAGACGTTATTAATGTTTCTATGTTTGAATAACAGATTGCTTTTTAAAAATGGGAACTTTAGTGACAGATTATGAAAAGCAAACAATGAGTCAGGGAAGAAATTATCAAGTTGCAGCAGTAAAATTGGGGAAATGAGAGAGAAAAAATTTCATAACAATGTTCAGTTGTGTCAGTCCTTGCAGGAAAAAAAAATGGTATTTTGGAGGTTGTTGTACAGTTGGAGAGCTGTTTTCCACTGAATGTATATGCCTTTTCTACCCACTGATTTCTCAGAATCCAAAATGCTGGATAGTTAAACAAGCTCCTAGGGCAGACAAAAATAAATAACATTCCTGAACTAAATACTGGTTGTCTCAGGAAATCATGGAGAATATGAATATGCAAGAAGTGTATTTGTCACTATTCTCTATAAAAGGGTTTCCTGGTTTTGTATTTCAGGGTTTAAGCAGACCATCAGCCACAGCTCAGAAGAGCCTCGTTAGTCCTCACCTGCTGACGAGCACCACGAGCTGTTTTGCTGCTCGCTCTCCACGCGGCTGCGCATCCCCTTATTTACCAGGATGGTTGTGGTGCGGGTCCGGACTGGAGCAGCGCAGTCTGGAGGTGCCTAAAGTTTCCCACATGGAGTCTCACTGCTCCCAGAGGTCAGCAGCGACCCCAGCCCGCCTCGGACCCCGCCGGCCACAAAGAGCAGATGTTGAGGAGCCACAGCCGAGCGCGGGCTCCTGCCCGGGCTGAGTGGGGGCTCTCAAGCGTGTGATCGTGTTGACCTCTAGTGGCTGTAGCGGACACCTTGGGGTGGGTGCGGCCAGCGCGGCTCTGCCGGAGCTGGGGGAGCTCCTCCAGCCAACGTGTCCTGACAACAAACCTGCCGCTGGCAGCACAGCTGCGCTCCCGATACATTGCTCATTGCTTTCTGTAGGATAGCACCTGGATGTAAGCAAGCATTTTGCATTTAATCTGTTGATGGTTTGTGGGGACTTTTTCGCAGAAAGTACTTGTTTTCCACATGAAATGTTGCAGCTGTCTGCTCTAGGGCAACATACTATAAGGCTGTAATTCTGGCTTCATGTTCTCCTTTGTCCTCCATGAACTTGCTTTTGTGGTAGCCCATGGTACTCTTTGGCCATTTCACATCCATGAGAAACAGTCTCCTACCCTCAGGAGCATCTTGACTAAGGCTGCTCAGGAAGGAAAACATAATGTACCTAAGCTAAGTTCTCACTAACCATTGCATTAGAAACAGGAATGTGATGATTTAGGATGTATATTTTAGGTGTGCACTTCTCTTTTTTAGTCAAGGCACTAAAATTTTTATTAAGATAGGACAAATTTCCGACTGTCTCAAATGCTTCTGTGAAACAACTCTTTATGGAGCATTTTCTCTCTTCATGAGAAACATGTAGCACTTACTGGTGTTGCTGGCAGTACAGGCAGAACGAAAGGATCGTCTGTGATCCTGTGTGGAAGTGACAGCTCTTCTACACAGTGTGGCCCCAAGGCAGCCCTCATCATGGCATTGCTAGGCTGAAGCTGAAGGTTGCCCTGTTCTCGTGTCATACAAGCAAACATTCAGCCTCACCAGAGTCTGTGAAGACTGTCAGAGGGTGACAACATTTATCCCTAACCTTATCTCATAATTTAGCTGTAATTGAATCCAGTCCTGAGAGCCTCAGTTTGGAAAATGAGAAATGGGCTGTCTTGCACATCTCTAACCAAAAGTGAACATAAATAATTGATAATAGAGCAAATTTGCTGAAATATATAAAAGATGTCATCTGTCTTCTCGCCGGTTGTTATGCTGAATAACCAAGATGTTTTAGTGGAGACAGATGACAATATTTAACATCAGTCACTTTGTGTACGTTGTTCTTATCATTGTTTGTAATTTGAAAATTGTGCTGGGGGCTAAAAAGGATGAGCAATAGGAAAATAAGTACTGGGGAAACCAATACAGCTCTCTGAAATGGAAGAAGATAGAATAATGTGTCTAGCACATGTCAGAATAGCCTTAGGGCTGCTTGTCCTCCATCTGGGAGCCTGCCACTGCTTGTGCAGGGTCTAGCAGGGACTCCAAGGCTGCTCAGCATGCCTCAGCCGTGTCTGAGTTCCTCTTAGAGAAATTGCTCTTTTGAAGAGGAGGTAGCTCTTCACTGGCCTCCAGATGCTTAAGGTTGCAAAATATCTGAACTAACGATGATATGCTTGTATTTTTTTTCAGCTATACCATTTGGCTTGAGTTAGGGTTTACCTCTTCTCACACTTAAGAAGAAAAGAGTGAGGTGTGGAGGATGATGGCTACAGTTTGGATAGAGGTATGAGTGTGATACCAGTTCATGTCAGTGAAGAGATTAGGTGATTTCCTCTCTTCTTGTCAGCCTTTTCCTGTAATTAGAAGCTATTTTGTAACTTGCTTTCCATGTGTAGTTTAGGTGTTCATGATCTTTAGATGATAGGAATCAGACATTGTCCACAAGCATTATTTGGTTATATTGGATCTCATTTGCAAATTAATAACTTACATTTAGCTTTTCTGATCTTAATCTTACTTAACACATTTTTGAGCAAAGAGCTGCTAGTTTGCAGTGTTTGATTATGGTGGTTAGCATCACAGCAGCACCTTCTGCTCTCATCTTATGATTTAATAAATCAGCTCTGTCCATTTTGCACTAGTGGATTGGATTTCAGCCTTTGGCTTTAACAGCTGCTGTAACATGTTGTATGATACATTTAACCTTTCCTTCCCCTGCCATTAGACCTCTGAATTGGAAGAATTGAGTAGGTTTGGTAATTGATAAACAGATTGCTAAAAGTGCTTGGTTTTTAAAAGTGAATACAGAAACAGATACAAGACAGTGATTGCAAATTCATCCAGCTGAAAAGCTCATCTAAAGGATGGCAGTAGTTTTGTTTAAGTTTGCAACTTGTGTTGTTCCATCATTAATGGCATGACGTCCTTGTTGCCTTCTACTGTTTTGCTCTAATAAATGTTAGAGTTTGTGTTTACATTTAAGAAAAAAAAAAAAGAAGTGTGAGTTTTATTGCTAAATCTCTTTCTGTGGTCTGACTGGCAGGCTGCCTTCCTAGTATGCAATCTGTGTTGAAACCAGAAACCTTGAACCTTGAATGTAATGCAGTTGTTGACTTCTGCTTCCAGTGCTCTTATTGCTTCTTTAACAGGTGTGCAGTCAAATGAAAACAATAATGTAAACAGCTGCTATTTTCAAGAGAGAACTAAAAGATAGTTGTAGAGAAATCTCTATTTTGTGTTTATTATTAACAAAGTCACAGTTCTGGAAAGCTTTGTGAAACTTATGCTGAATTTAATCTTGCTTCTGAAACTGTCTTCCTAGAATATGTAATTACTTAAATCCAGGAAACCGAAAAAGAGGAGAGGGGAATTGAACAAAGTCAAAGCAATTTGCGTTTATTGTTGGAGTTATATTGCTTGAGATGCTCTGATCAGAGAAACAGGGCACAGAAATGTCAAGACACTTGTAAATCAGAGGTGTACAAGTACTACTACCGCCTCTTATCTCTCCACTGCCATGTTTCATGCCTAGTATTGCAAAGCACAGATTTAACTAGGAGGAAGCTGTATTCATCCTTTTGCAAACAGAAATATGATTATGAACCCCTTATTATGTATTTGAAACTTGCATGATGAATAATTTTCATGCTGAAAATAATTATTTCCTAAATTAGATCCAACTCACTTTTGGTCTTTTTAGGTGTGGGATGTTTTATGGGTAAACCTAAATCTCCCAAAGCTATGGAAATAATCACTGTGCAAGGATGAGCTCCACTCCTTTCTACAGTAACCATTTAGGTGGCTTTAAGATGGTTTAAAATATTATGCAAAAGTTTGCATTCTCTTTACTTTTCATTTTGACGTAACAATCTTGGTATCCTAATCAGTGGCTATTAGTATGTTTCATGCATAACAGTCCTTTCTGCATTATTATATTCAAGTAGAGCTGAACTTCCCTAGCCTGTAAAAATTGTTCATATTTATTCAGAGAAGCAAAAACCATGCTCTTGAACATCACTGAACACATCTCTATTGACCTCAGCTTGACCATCTTCCTTTAAAACAAAAATTATTCTATAGCCATTTTCTATCCTGGGCTGCTAAATAATGGTCTAATAAGGGAAAAAGTTGTGCCAGTTGATTACTCAATTTGTCAAACAAACAAACAAAAACTCTGCTGATTCTTTGCCTGGCCTGTTATGTTACATTACAGTGAAACAGTTGTATCTGCACTTTATTCTCTTAATTTCGTGAGCAAAGTCTAGAAGGAGTCATATCTCTGAGAGTGGTGCAATACACATCCAAAGCAATATTCCTACATGTTTAATGGAAACAACCAGATGCTTAAATGTCTGCTTGACTGAGTTGGAAACACTGAGGTTCACTTCTTGTCCTTGGAGGGGAAACATTTGGGGAGGAATCCAAAACCAGATGAATTAAATAGCAGATCTCCCATGGAGAGCCTGTTGGTGTTTAAAGATGGAATTCCACTGACAATAACAAAATAATGGGATTCTTTTAATTTTTTCTCTTTTTGAACGAAGAAGTTTCACATTTAACTGGTTCTTTTGCCAGGTAGAGTTCAATTGCAGTGAGACATTTAGTTACTGCAGATGTTGTTGCTTGTTTTTTGTATATCCATGTCATTGAAATGTGGTTGTTATAGCAACAGGCTTAACTATTAAACAGGTTTTAGTCTTATATCTGCTTCACATCAATAAGGTAATTAGGTTTTTGCAGCATCTTTAAATATCATACTAGGTAGTAAAGGAGATGAGCATCACTTATGTCCCTCAGTAAATTAGCTATAGGGTATTATTTTTTCCCCAAAGGCATCATCTCTAAAATGTCTGCCTAATTTCTTTCTGCCTGAGAGACAATGTGGGAAAAAATATTTAATCTACATATGCAGTGTTAAAATGTGCAAAAATGGTTACATTTCAAAGAGCTTACAACTTTGATAATTCCAAAAACCAGATTCCAACTGTAGCCTTTTAGCATTTGAAAGTCTTAGCCAAACTTTGCATCTGCACTTCATAATTCCCTGCTCAGTGCTAGCTATCACTGCCATTACATTGCTCCAAGCCTGTTCTGCAGACTGTGTTCTCAGCAAGGACAGAGTTAGACAAACAGTCTGGTGAAATGAGTACTTTGGAGATGCTGTTTTGGATCTGCCTTTCCCTTAAAATTATCATGGAATTAAACTCTGCTGTGTGAGCTTTCAGCTCAAAATTTACCTTTTAAGAGAATTATCTGTGTTAGGATCTGGTGGTGGGAGTAATCTCTAAAATCTGTTTTCCCTCTCAAACACCAGCATACAGGGAGGGGAAGATGGGGGAGTGACGGGAGAAACCTTCAATTTCTGTTTGCATCAACAGATGTTTTCCAGACAGGAATAATGCAGCTGTGGAAAGCTTTCTACAAGAGGTTCCTTGGTGCCTGTGGTGATGCCAAGCTCCCCTCGCTGTCTCTGTGCAGCTCAGGCAGGGCAGGGCACACCTGTGGTGTTGGGGCAAAGGTACCCCTGTGAGAGGTCCAGCCCTGTCCCTCTGATACAGCTCCAGGGCAGACAGCTTAAAGGAGGCTTTCCTGGGCACTGCATCCTGTGCTTCTGAGCTGGTCCAACATGCAGGTGATCCAACATTCAGATGAACATGCTGGGCACAGGGATGGGGAGCTGATCCACGGTGAAATGCAATGTTCAACTGCCAGAAAATGGGCATGATGAAGTGCTGAAGCCCTTTCTGCAGGCAGCAGCTCCTTAGGTACTGCAACTTTCAGGGCTGCCATCTGATGTCCACCTTTCAGAGGTCTGGGCTTTCTTCTGGGTTGTGAGGTTTGGGGTTTTTTTATTTCTTCTTCCTTTTTGAGACCTCTGAAAAAGGAAAATGCTGTTCAATGTGAAATAATTGCAGGAGGAACTGAGCTTGTACTGTAGTGTGTACAACAGCTTATGTCGTGGGGCCTTTTGAGGCAGCTTTGTTGTTATTCTGTCTCTGTAAGTGAAGCATTTAACTTCCCCAGCTACGTATTACTGAAGCATCTTGATACCAAGTCTTGTGACTAAGGACTTGTCTCAAAGCTTGGGTCCAAAGTCTGACCAATGCAATGACAGAAGCCCTTTGCAGTCCTGGGGATAACTGGGGGAGATGGGGAGCAGCAGACAGGAAAGGGGAAGGGGGCAGATTATGGGGGTACCGTTTTTTAAATTAAGAAGCCTGAGGTCTAACCATTGCAATTACTATTGTCATGATCAGATCAAGCTTAGAAAAAGCAATTTTGCATCACAATTAGATAACTGCCAGTTCAAACAGAACAGCAAGAGTTGTAGCTGTGTGTGCATGTTAGCATTTTATTTGCCCGTGGCACTGTAGTAATTGACCGGATGCAGATGATCTGAGAGTAAATTCACATATTTTTGCACAAACTAAATGTGTGGGGTTTTATGGTACATACGGCCCAGAGCTTTACCAGATATTGATAGTCTTGTTATTAGGTAGTATTGATCTACAAGAAAAATTAATTACATTGATGAATTTTAATTAATTCTTTTTAATAAGTGAACTTTTCTTCAGTGAACTCCTGTGTTAAGAGGTAGTAATAGAGGATTTATGTAATGCTTGCAGGACAGCATGTTTCTTCTTGTGGCACAGTGCCTGCAATAAATCTTAGTAATAAGGTTCCAAAATTAGCAATTTTGTAGGATTTCAATGGCTATAACTCATTTATTGCCATTTGTACCACCCAAATCTGTCTAGAGTTGAGTTACTAAATCTGCAGTCCAGCTTTTAATACTAAGAGGACAATCAGTCTTCTGAGACAACGTGTTTGGTTTGAGGGGAAAATAAATCTAGGGTGAAAGGAACAGCTTTTCTTCTCTTTGTCTTTCCATTTTGCTTGCGTTAAAAATAGATGGGAAATCTCAGTCATGCCTTTAATGACTGTCTGCAAATTGATACCATAAGTTTGTAAATAGTGTTCTGCCAGTTTAAAAGGCATCCATTGCCAGAACTCATATGATACACTTGCACAATATGACCTTTTATTTTTAAAAAGGTAGTTTTCAGTTCAGCCTCCAAACTCTGGAGCTTCTGGTTTCAGAAATGTGTAAGGTTTGTTTTGCAAATCTCTCTGCTGCTCTCTTGGCCTGTTACTTCCCTGTAGCCCATTCTTCAGACAGGTGTGGTAGCTGGATATTTCACTTTCTATTCATTAATTGGCCTGTAGAAACCAGGCTGGTGCTCCCCACTGTCAGCCACCCCAAGCTCTCCTACCTGCCGGGGT